GCAAATCAAAAATTCGAGGGTTTTTTCGAAACGAGTCTAGTTATCTCTCCCTCTCTCTCTCTCTCTCTCTCTCTCTATATATATATATATATATATATATATATATATATATATATATATATATATATATCTTAATATGTATAACCCCATCCAAGTCATTTTTTTATATATATATATATATATATATATATATATATATATATATATTGATTGGTATTACCCTATCCAATGCAGTAATGCCATTAAGACACAAGGGGTTGCAGGGCGTGGAAGGATTAGGAACAGAAACATTAATAATGATCGGGAAAGGAAACGAGTAATCAGGAGTACAGTAGATAGCGATTGACATTGCATTTGAATTTTTTGCAGATTAAAGTTTGCTGGAAAGCATGGAGGTTGAAAGGATTTCCACAAGCGAGAGGTGCGAGAAAAGAAACAGTTGGCATAGAATTTACGGCTACATCTAACCAGCTCGACTGTAAATTGATTTGATCTCGACGTTAGTCTAGTACTGCGCTTACATTCAAAAAGTCTTGGTATCATAGCGAATGGCTCATCTGAACAATTACCGTAAAAAGTATTTATAGAAAATACATAGTGAGGCAACCTTATGGTGTTGAGAAAGTGTCTAAAGCCGAGCTGCCAGATGAGGACCAATGATATTGCTGATTCTTTGGATTTTATGTGGCAGCAATATTCTAAGAACGGACTTATAGATATATAGATTTATAGATATGTTTGAGTATATTTCAGAATATAAATGACTATTGCTTCCGATTCTAAGTATATCGTACCTGGATAAAAGATTGAACTCACAATTACTGTGCCACCGAATTCATGAACCATTTTAATCAACTGGACTATTGTTCCAGGACTTAGCGAAAGCAGTGCGAGCAATAACTGAAGAGTATTAAATAAGAAGATTAGATATCTCTGGGAAGGAAAATATGGACAAAGTTTCCTCAGTAGACAGCACAATAAAAAAGCTTTATTTATAAGATGGTAATTATTAGAAATGATTTTTGCACAATACTGTGCTCGGATAGCTACAGGTCCTTCCACATCAGCTGCAGGATACAAGTAGGAATAGCCCTCAGGCCTGCACGAGTTTTATGGTGAACTAAGACAGTGAGAAACAGAAAGTGAGGCACGATAAACAATACGAAAATATATCACCGTGTGTGTGTGTGTGTGTGATGTTCATAGTTTAGCGGACAACGATACAGTACAGTCTTGGTCCATTTTAACCTATTGTCAGGTGGCCGAAACATTTTGCACATCTAATTTCAGACCGCTTGCTACATATGATAATTCGGTATGAAATGATTCTAATATGGTCAGGTTTCATCTGCAGATGGCACAATAAAAACACATCCACTTATAAGATACCAATTATTAGAAATTTACATCGCCTAAGACTTTTGTACCGTAGTGTATTTGGATAGTTTTCCACGACTGTTTCTGGTCTTGCCGCATCAGCTGCAGGGCACGCACGCACACGCACACACACACACACACACACACACACACACACACATATATATATATATATATATTTTACACGTTTATTTTTGGCTGTCGTCTCGAATTTTCTTCCGTCATTCAGGATAATTGCTACAAAACATATAAACATTAGGGATGAAAATGACTCTGATATGGTCAGGTTTCGTCTGCAGCTGACACAATAAAAACATATCCACCGATGATATGGCAATTATTAGAAATTTACAATAGTTTAAAATCGCTTAACATTTTTGCCGGTATCGTATTTGGATAGTTTTCCACGACTATTAATGGTCCTAGTACATCAGCTGCAGGATCTATCTATCTATCTATCTATCTATCTATCTATCTATCTATCTATATCTATCTATCTATATATATATATATATATATATATATATATATATATATATATAGCTCTTAGTCCTGCACGAGTTTTCATCTGAACTCAGACAGTGAGAAACAGAAATTTAGACCCGAGAAACTATACGAAATTATATCATCGTAACTTATTATATCTCACTGTGTTTGCAAATAATCAAGTTGATGGGGACATATTAATTTATTTTTGATTTATAGACATCTTTATCAAACAGCAAGGATATATTTCTACATTTACTCGATACTAAATTCTATTAAAAGTATCTGGCAATGACACCTGCCAATACATAGATTGCAATGTAATTAATAAAAAAAAGAAAAAAATCGTAAATTCAGTCTTGATTCATTAGTATATCATTTTGATAATTTTTTTTTGTACATTTTTAAAATAAATCTTTGTTTCCTTTCTTTTCATATCTTTTTGACAAGTAAATTCCTCTCACGACTTTTCTACGTTCAACGTTTTTTTTCCAATGAAAATTTTTTAAAGGCTGCACCTGCAGATAAAATAAACAGTTCCCTTAGAAATTCCATGGAGGTTACACGAATCGATAAGCATTTAATGAAGACTGGAGGGTAAAACTGCCGAAACTTTGTAATGATTGTGTTATGGTCTAAGGTTAGGACCAAGGAAGAACAACATGAATACAAGAGTAGAAATAACGAAGGTAACGAAGGTATATATAGCTGTCTCTTCTATTCCAATAGCTTCATATCTCGCACCTCTCGCATGTGGAACTCCCTTCCCTATTCCTGTTTCCCTGAAAGCTATAATCTCCAACCATTCAAATATAATGTCAATCGACATCTTCAGTTGCTTTGATCTATCCATTGTCCCTCTCCTCATCCTTTCTTCTATCACTCCTATCTGATCTTTCTCCAAATCTTCTGTAGCCCCTTGCGTCCTAGTGGCTTCCCGCCTTGCTTGGGGTGAAACGCTTAAAAAAATGTATATATATATTACACGAAATAATAATACAAGATGTGGAAGGTGTTAGTATGACTGTCAGTCTGGTTTGGAGTGAACTACTATCGACTCGACTCGATTCGGTATGTAGCCACCCCCACCACGAGGGTTGCATGTGGCACAAGGCCGAGTTTAACGTGGGTTTCCTGAGCCGTAGACTCGGCCAAAAAATGCCCGTAGAACCCGTATAAACGGGATCGGGTTGGTCAACCTACCCGAACGAGGCTCTGCCTTCGGCGGAGCCTCGTCCGTTCCCTCTCTGCTCAGAGGCAGAGAGTTCGACCGTCCCCCCTCCCCTGAGGGTTGCATGTGTCACAAGGCCGAGTTTTACGTGGGTTTCTTGAGCCCGTAGGCTCGGACAAAAAATGCCCGTAGAAACTGTAAAAACAGAATCGGGTTGGTCAACCTCCTCGAACGAGGCTCTGCCCTCGGTGGAGCCTCGTGCGGGTTCCTCTCTACTCAGAGGCAGATAGTTCGACTGTCAAGCCGAGAAGCTCGGCTTGACTCGACCCTCTCTCTTGAGAGGCGTAGAATACATAGTGTTAGGAAGAGTTCATTCTGTAGTTATAGGTAAGGACCTATGACAGAGTGTAAATAATGTAGATAATGATAACGCCCTATTCCAGAATTTCAGACAAAAATTGATGATTATTTCTTTAAATTGTATGATTTCATATTGAAAATGTGTCTTCTTCGTAGTGACATGTCTATGGGTGATCATGCCACTCCATATCTTCCTGGTTTTTTAGCTCTGAATAAGTTTTAACATTTTGGTATATCTCCTATTTCTCTAAACATTATCATTTGTTAGGTTGTTTTCCCTCTTGCCTTTAATATATTCCGTGAGTGTCAAATTCTCCTAAAAAGTTAAATTGTTTCTTTCTCATTTTAAGAAGAAATCCATCATTTGTTTCCATATTCCTTAAAACTTTGTCGTATTCTCAGTATCCTTCTGTAGAGCTACATTTCAATTGCCTCAAGTGTCTTCATCTGGGTGAAGATTGTCCAACAATCACTGCTATATTGGAGAACCGATATTGCATTATAATTCACTACCTTTTTTTTTTTTGTTTTTAACAAAATTTTCCTGCTTCTTAATACTTTGCTTAGCTTTTGGAAGGAAACTTTCACTTTTCTAACGCGTGTTCTGATTTCGGCATCACATTTTGCGTTTTATGTTCAAATATTACCTGTATGTTTACATTTCCTGCTTGATTGATTCTGACGTAAAAAGAAAAAGATGCATTGGGTTCGCAGCCAATTCGCCTTAAAATTAGCTTCTTACATTTGCGTTTGGCATCTAAAATCTGTGTTAAGAAAAAGAAAGAAAATATCTTAATCATAGGACAGATTACGTCTAATGCTGCCAGAATTGGAAACACGTCTCACAAAATGAAGCAATTGATTAATTCAGCGGGACAAGAATTCCCACGATGGTGAAAACTGCATAAATTTACGAAAGAAACCTGAGAGGAGAAAGCAGACGACAACAACAAAATGGCCACTAAGTTGACCGAGAGAAAAAAAAAATCTCATGTCCATTAGTCAATTGGGTGAAAATATTTGGGGGTTGAGCTTTACTTTTTGTGATAAAAAAAGTTCATTTAAATATAATTAAGCATTTTCCTTTTACAATAAATGATCCATATATCATCATATGCTTTTTGTATCACCAAATATAATTTTTTTAAAAATCTTGTCAATAATTTACTATTTATAAAAGAAAAGAATATTTTACTTTTTTAATCAATTCACCACAAGCAAGGCGATAAAGCCAATAAGACAGAAGGGATTACTGCGAGTGAAAGAGAATGAAAAGACTTTAGAAGGAACCGGGAACCCAATCCTATACAGGAAACAAGGGATTAATCTCTACTCCTGTTCAAAAGTCCGGAGAGGAGTGTGAATCAGGCGATATGTGAACCTATATACTCCTATGGAGAAAAGTATTCACTTATTTTAGATGAAATATTCCCGGATATTATTATGATGGAATATGTATTCCATTTTTGTTTTAGTCGCTTTTCATCGCAACTTTTAATCTAGCCATATTTTACAGTCAATGGTATTGAAAATCTGAAATTAAGGGGAATAAAATACTCGTAAAAATCAATAGTCATATTCCACTTTTATTTTATAACATTTTTAGTTCCAATTAAAGATTTAAATTTCATAATTCTACGTCTCATTATATCAATAATTTTCACCCTATCTATCTATCTATCTATCTATCTATCTATCTATCTATCCCAGGCTGTTTATACCTATCTACTTCAGGCTGTTCATATTGATCTAGAAGTTTTTTATCTATCTATCTATCTATCTATCTATCTATCTATCTATCTATCTATCTATCTATCCCAGGCTGTTTATACCTATCTACTTCAGGCTGTTCATATTGATCTAGAAGTTTTATCTATCTATCTATCTATCTATCTATCTATCTATCTATCTATCTATCTCAGGCTTTTCATATTTAATATCTATTCGTCCCGATTCTTTTCGTGAATATGTAGTCAGGAGATCAGTTAACATTAGCTATCTTCTATGAGTCGCGTCCTTTAAGGATATAGGCGATCATGGCTCTGCACAACGTTCAATCTCTTGTGTCTCTTAGAAGTTTTTCTGCATTTACTAATGACCTCACCCCCAGCGTTTCCTCATCCATTCTCGTTAGGTAAGTGACTCGCTGCTTTCTCCTATCTCTCTTGCTCTCAATATTCCCTGTGAGGGTTAAGTTTTCCAAGCCTTCCTTCCTCACTATGCGTCAAAGCAATTGCAGCCGTCTCTTCATGATTCTGATTATATGTGTTTTTTTTCTGATGCCATTTTGTTTAATACACACTTGTTGCTTATTCATCCTTATGGATGATCAATTATTTTCTCCCACAGACGGGATGTGGTAAGGTTCTGACTCCTCTATCGCTACTGCCACGGAAAGTGCGCGGACGAGCTGCATTTCTTGCTTGCTTCAGTTAGAGCCTTCACGGTCAGGATCCGTCATACCACTTACATAGTAGCATACCACCCACATTCCCTTTGTGTTCCAGTGGTGAGAAATAAGTTCCATTCGAACGGCTGCCTTTCGCAAACCACTGCTCTGTGGAACAAACTCCCAAGAGGCTATTTCGAGATCACTACAATCTTGATCAGTTCAAGTCTAGCATTAACCGTTATATTTCCTTTCTATCCGCATAAACAGCGTCTTGCTATGTAACCATCTACCTCGAGTGGCCCTCGGGCATTGTACAAGTTGAATCTCACTTTAAAAAAAAATAAATAAAAAATGAGGGGACAAGAGTATTGCCCAGAATTTGTGGATGACTCCCAACCATCATCAAAAGATTACGTGATAGTAAACATTTTTTAAATGATTCAGCTTTGTTTCCTACCGTGAATAATTTTCAAGCCGTCACAGATTTTTATCTATTTTTCTGTGAAATCGACATCACATGACGTTACAACGTAAAGGAATATATATATATATATATATATATATATATATATATATATATATATATATATATATATATGGGGTGTGTAGTGAATGCATAAGCATCTCCTGTTATCCTCTCCTTTTAATGTGTATTTTAGCCATGTATCTCATGAGCGAGCTGTACATGCCTAACACGCACCGTGGCGTCCCTGGCTATCCAGCTTGGCTCTCCAGTTGAGTTTTCTGATGAAACTCGTTCTCTGTAATAATAATTTCTCTGGATGCCAACCCCGTTGTTTTCTTTATTTTATTTTATTTATAGGAGTTGATAGGCTTTCCTGTCACTTGATCAACACCTACCTCCCACTCTACTATTGACCATGAGTAGAGGCTCATCTCTTGTTTCCTTTTTAGGAAGGGATTCCCGGATCGTTTCCTTTTCTCTGTTCTTAGTATTAATGCTGTTGTGAATTTCTTGTGATGTGTGCGGGTTATGACAACGTCTCTTCCTACTGAGGTTACCGGGTTGGCAGTTTTCTGGTTTCTGGTAGTTAGGAGACCGAACTCTTGCGTAGCGACTTGAGAGGCTGCTCTGATCAACAGTTGAATAATATCGGGGTTCTTTCAGTGCCACGTTCCGCATGGAAGGGTGTCCCTGCACGTGCCCCCGGTGGGAAACTCTTAAGCCCCATTATGTTGCAATCTGCGCCAGTTCTTTTTTTCCCATGTCACATATGATAACCGTCTGCTACTATTACTTTTCCTTACCAACATAACTAAACATGACCATAAACAACCAAAAATATAAAACGAACCAGCTTAAAAAAATATCACCCAAACCTTCAACATTTCCTTCTTTAACATCCATGGTATTCGTACCAACTTCTGCAGTGTGGAATCGTTCCTCTTCGAAAGGTTTCCTGATATGCTAGCTCTCTGTGAGACTAACCTTAACTTTTCAATTATTTCCTCTGATTTCTCGATTCCTGGCTACCTTCCTGTCCTTAGAAAGGACTCTAAAATCCACATGCATGCCCTGAGAATTTATGTCCGTCATCATCTCCCGCTGGCTAGGGAACTCTCTTTGGAACCTCCAGACAAATTCGTATATGTATCTCCGCCAATCTCTCCTCAATTCAATAAGCTATCTCTTCTTTCTCTGTCATTCCCCTTCCTCTGAAGGCTGTTGCATATTCGATGGCATTTCCGATAATATAGACAAGGCCATCTGTCTGCATGCGTTAGCAAACATATTCGTTTTCAGTGACTTTAACGCCCATCATACCAAGTGGCTTAAACACTATGTAACTGACCTCGCCGGCATCCAAATCCTTAACTTTTCAATCACTCAATTCCTCACACAATTGTTTGACTTTCGTACGCCTTTCCCCCAAGAACCCTGACAGTAACGCTTTCTTTCTCGATCTCTGTTTTGCATCCATCCCTGACTCCTGTCGTGACCCGCTGCTCTGCCCTCTTAGCGACTCTGATCACGCGGTAGTGTCGGTTAACATCTCCTTCCATAGTCATGAACCTCCTACTAACAAAACTTCTTTCTGTTATCAACGCGCAGATTGGGACTCGTACCGTGATTTCCTTCGCGACGTCCTTTGGAATTTGATTTTTAATTATCCCGTTAGAAAAATGTGCGTCTGAGGTCTCCTCCTGGATAAAAGCCGGCATCGTGGCTATCATCCCAGCAAAAAAAAAAAAAAAAACCCCAAAAAACACCAAGTTAAATCGCGCACATCTCCTTGGTTCTCAGCTGCTTTCTCAACCGTTATAGTCCATAAGAATCATTTCTTCCGTCTGTACCGGAACGACATGTCTGATTGCAACAGACGTCTCTTTGTCTCTGCTCTTAACGAGTGCAAGCGTTTCCTCAATGAAGCAAAGTTAACGTTTTCTGATAGAATGAAACAACGTATTGCATCTCTTAAGTTTGGATTTAAAGATTACTGGCAACTCTGCTCGAGTGTGCTGAATAACGACAGATCCTCAATCCCTCCTCTATTCAATCAGTTCGAAGTCCTATCATCCACGGCTAATAAGGCTGAATGCTTTAGTCGGAAATTCTCATCCAACTCAACGCTCGACACATCTTAAGTACACATACCTAATTTTCCCCGAGAACTGAGGCTCTACTGAGATGTGCATAACTCCATCGATGTTATTGGATATCATTTCTAAATTAGACTCTCATAAATACGGGATACCAACGAAATATGTTCTTTAGATGGAACCAGTTCTATCCAAACAATTCCTTCACTGATTCCTGCTTTCCAGTCTGTTGGAAGTCATTCTCTGTCATCACCGTTTTTTTTTTTTCTTGGCATCTCGACTTCAATCACTTTCTCACAGACGTGATGTAGCTTCCCTCTGTCTTTTCTATAAATATTTTCAAGGCATCTGCTCTGACGAGCTATTTTCACTAGTACCCTGACTGCATGAATTTAAGCGTGCTACTAGGTTGGCATTTTGCCCCCCCCTTTTATTGTTGAAATAATTAAATGTAACAGCCTCTTCTACTCCAACTTCTTCTCTCGCACTTCCTGACAGTGGAGCTGTCTTTCTCTTACTTACTTCCATGATAACTATAATCTTTAAAAATTTAAATGTAATGTCACTCGATATGCCTTGATCCTTGTTCTTCATTTTATGCCTTCTTTAATCCCTCTTCTATACCCAGTATTTTTTCTTACTTTCATTTTCTGTAACCCCTTACGTACTGGTGGCCTTACTTGGGATGAAATGCTTTAAAATTTATCTACATCTATACAGGGTGTATCAAAAATACTTTTACAAACTTGGGAGTCGGCTTTCTTACCCCAAAACAAGGACAAAAATCCATATATGTTCACAAATCCTTCATTTTTGTGTTATTAAATTTATGGTAGATAGCACTGTGTTGCCATGTAGACGAGGTTACATTTGTCATTCGTGTAAATTTGTGGCTAGTCTGTCTTCAATGTTTAACGTGCGTAGTAGTGAGTAAAGTGAGAAGTGTCCCTTTTAAAAATGGCAGCATATCGCGAATGGTAATGGACGCGAGGCATCATGGCTTTATCAGATATGAGACACGATTCGTGGCACCACAAACTATGGACTGAGGAAGACTGAGATCGAACTCATACATCTAAAGACGAATAACACATTCTACAGGCTGTGGGAGACGATACAAGATTTGCGGACATATGTTTATATGGACTTTTCTCCTTGTTTTGGTGTGAGGAACCTTCCTCTGAAGTTTGTACAAGTATTTTTGATACACCCCCTCTCTCTCTCTCTGTGTGCGTGTGTGTGTGTGTGTGCGTGTGTGTGTAGGTGTTAGGCATCATCTGCCATAAAATCTCCATTATTTGATACAACTCAACCTCTAGTTGTTTCGTTGGCTTTATTTAATGGCCGTCTTGTATCTGCACACGCGTATATCGATCTGTTTTGAAACAACAAAAGAACACCTAACCATTTCGACGTTCGTCGTGCAATTGACAAGTCGACAGTAAAAGATTGATTGTGTCCACCGTCAGCTTCTCTTCTCTTCACTATTAAAGAATAAAGAATTTTCATTTTAGGCGAGCAAACAAGAATTGTAAGCCAATAATAATAATAATCTTTGTCCGAATATCAGAAGACAAATCTTCAGGATTAATAAATCATGTTACGTCTCATTTTACAATATTTCTTGATGAAGAATAAATATTTTCCTATCAAAACTACAATTTACAATCAAGGTTTTTAAAAATACAAAACATTCAAGAACAAAAGAAGGAAGAAAACAAGAAAGTAATATATTTGAAAATCTGTCTGTTGTTGTGAAGAATTTGAAAGTTAAATACAACGAATGCTTTTCATCAGCATTATAACACCATATTCTAATTTTATCGTGCCGATGATTGAAAGGACAAAATTTAATCTCTCATAATGTAAACAGAATATTCCATTATTTTTTTATGTATTGGCGAGGCGTAATGGTCATGCTAACTAAGGAGCGAGCAGAATAATAATAACTACAAATACACGTGGAAATTTCAAAATCTTCTTATTTGAATTTTCACATGGCGAATTCTAC